AGTTTTACTCTAGATCACCGGTTCTCAAACTCTGGTACTGTACTACTGTTGGTACGTTACAATATTTTAGTGGTACAATTTTTTACAGAAAAAAAATTAAGTGAATGCTCAAAATGAATGTAAAATTACGCCCCTTTTTAACATTTTGTTTTAATTTTTATTATTCAGAAACACATCTAGCTTTATTGTTAAAATGACGACTTTTCCAAAAAAACTGATTAAATTTCACAACATTCACCACTTTTTTAAACCTTATAATATCTAAAATGTCAAAAAGACAGAATGTATGTATTTTTAAACGTATCTTGTCAATGTTAGCCTTGTGACTCAGGTGTCTTCTTTGCTTTTGTACAACTATGTTACTTGTAGTATACTTATTTATATTTATTGTAATGTAAAAGTTTCATTTACGAATATTACTTTGATTATATACACTCCATTTAGGATGCATTGATTTTTAATTGCGAAATGTTTTTATGGTGATACACATATTTTTGTCTCCTATTTATGTCGTACAAAATTTGAAAGGTTGGAGAACCTGTGCTCTAGATTATAAATAGCCAACGCTATATATCGGTATTATCCATATTTTATAAATATAATATATTATATGTGTGCATGTATTTCTTTTAATATATATTACATATCACTATAAAAAAGAAAAATGGAATTTTGTTGATATAAAATTCTAATATCCAATGTTTTACTTAAATGATTAGAGTAATGCTTCCCATGAAATAAAATTAGTAATTAATTTCAACCAAAGATATGTATGCAGAAGACGGAATTTATAGAAGAAGGCGCTTTGTCGTTTGACAAACAGAAACTGCCGGTATTCCATTTGTAACTCCTTCAAGCCATAACTGAGTGGATGCCTTTCAAATAAGAGAAATTCCTTTTAGTACTATTTGGAGTGTTTCGAATATCTCGAGGTTTTATAAGCAGTTAATAATTCAACAGAAAAGAGATTGTTTGCCTATGGAATAATTTGGAGACCTTTTAGGAAATTACTGTAAGAAAATGAAATTTCTTAATTAAACCTTATTATGTATAATAAGATGTCGCTGACATTTTATGTCCTGTAATAATACAAAACTTACTTATTGAAACAGCCAGAAAGGACTGAAAATGTTTTCATGTAGAAGATTTGTAGCTTCTTCTACCTGTATCCCTACAAAAAAGCATGTCATAACCAAAAAAACATATATTTTAAATAAAATAAAATTTGAAATAAAGGACAAATTCAGATTAAAAAGATGAATCAATTATTTATACAAAATTGAATGAGTTAATGTTTTCAGCAACCTTAATTTTCTATGAATAAAGCACTACGCCACAAACTTTTAAAAGAAAATTAATTTACTTTCAAGCAGAGAGTAACTAATTAATTTTTCGATATCGTTTGAAGATGACGAAGCAGTTTGGAAAAAGGCGTCTTCTCTTGGGTTAATCTTCAAAATAGCAACATTTATGTGGAATTAGACCACCACCCGGTTCGTGCTTTTGTGATGTAAGGGGTTAGCAAGCTATTGACAAATCCGTAGTTTGAATGTCAGTGAAGGCACAGTTTTTTTTTTTTTTTTTTTTTTTTTTTTTTTTTTATGTTTCCTGGCTTTAAAAAACCGAATGGTTTCTACATATTTATTCCTTAGCAGTTCTAAAAATGTTTATAAACCGTTTATTGGAATCACAGATTTAGAAATTAATATGTACTGAATTACCAGATTTTATTCCTATCAAGAACTTATGTTGGTTAAAGTTTCACAATATTCTAAGAAACAGCCCTACATCTCTGAGAAAATATACAACGAAATAAAATTTTTCGCATTATAAATTACTCGCTTAAAATTGGATTAGTGTGTTGAACACACGTCTTCAAATCAATTTAAATAAATTCATCTGGCTGACTTTTTTCCTTACGTTGAGTGTATTAAAGAGAAATGATTCATGAAGTCATTTTTTGCTTTAAATGATGTCATATTTTATACATGTGTTAAAGTATTTCTCCTAGTTATCAAATTTCATTGCATAATTTCCTGCATCATGAAATTTTAACGTTATTCCGGAAAATAAAAAGTGCTCGAATCAGAATTCCTTTAATTTGTAACATCGCTAAAGAACGATTTGAATGTATTATGAGTCAATTTTTATTTAACTTCTTAATGGACGTTAAATAAGATCTGAGCTTAATCTCTCTTTTTGTTATTAAATTTAACAGTTTCTTTAGGACATTTAACGTTTTAAAGAGAAGAACACAAAGAGCGTATTTATTGTGTGAGAAAGAAATTTGTAGTTCGAAGATTCATTCATTTATCTATTTATCGCGCATAAAACTGATAGGCGACATAAGTAATTATTACACTTCAATTGATAAAAGTACATTCGATATCCTTCGTGAATTTCATTAACCGCGATTCTATTCTTTCCACCGATTTCGGTATCTGTTTAAGCTCACAAACAAATTTTCAGTATCTATTTATTTAAAGTGACTAATAAACATTATTATTCAAATGCCTCGTTTTTAACTGTAACTTTAAAATGAAATATATTTTAATATTCCATCATTATATGTTAAATATAAAATATTCGATGCGTTTTAATTATGGTCATAATGGACATCAACTAAATCGGAAACTGTTTATTGATATGCACACCAGTACTGCATTCCTCTTCTATTTCTTTTCGATAGTGCTGAATACAACGCGTAGTAAGTCATAATTTTTTAAGAATTTTTATGTACTTCTATTTATTTTACTAATGCCAAAATATGTATGCATGAAGGACAGAAGTAAAGAAATAATAGCCTATCAACGTTAATTCCAGTTTTTAACACAAGTGAAAATCTGTCGAGCTCATGCTAGCAGCTGTAAAAAATTTAATTGTTAGGAGTTGGGTGCTTGAATATCGTGTTTTACACAAACTTTACTTCATAATATCTAAATTTTCATTTGTTGAGGGAGGATAAGGGGAAAATATCGGGTTATCATAATTGATACATTTAACATCAGCGATTTTATTAATACCTTTTATCAAAAACTTAATAAAATATCGGACTTCGGGGAAACTTAAAATACTTAACGCAATATATCGTTAAACAATAAGTCCTGACCTTAAAGTTCTCAAAGCTTAAATTTCTTAGCAATCGTATAACTTTTAGTTTTCTTTACTGTGAAGAAATAGCATTTCCTTATTTATTTGCAATTTTGGTCACGTTTCTTGGAGAAGTTTAATTCAATACCTGTATTAGAATAATCCATCTTCGGTTTGACAGCATTCTTGAGATTTCTAGCATTGATACGTTGACTGCTATTACCGCAGCATGCCAAGCAGTGAAATATCTCTGAGATGCATTTACAAAATAAAATTGAGTTCGGATTTGTTTAGAGTGTGAAGTCACGACCGAGAAAAGTTCAAAAGTTTATTTATTTTTTATTATTTTGTTTCGTTTTATGAAAAGAAGACTCTTGTAATTCCGTTATGAGTTCGTACATTTACATTATATATAACCAATCACATTTTTTTTTTGTGTGTGAATTTTCTCTTTAGACATTTCTCGAAAATAAAAGATGAGGTTTGTATGAACGTGGAGACTAGTGAACATTCCTTACGCCTCTTACATTGGCAGGCACTTTGAAAGATACAAGTATTGTCAGTACCTAAAAACTGCAGATACTTACTGAGTTTATTCATATGTCTCTGATGATGATGCTTTAGAAAAGCCTCTAAACGAAGACTACTTTTACCACAGCAGTTGTTCCATGATTCATAAAATTTTAAACCTGTTTGCTAGAAAATATATAATCAGAAGGGCACAAGTTTAAATAAATGAACAAAAGCACCGAATTTTTTTGTCTGAAATTCGATTATCAGGAGCAAGGTCTGAGAGAATAAACACTTCAGTGATTTTTCCCGCGTGTAAAGTAAATATGAACTAGTGTGCTTCAGAAGTTCGACACTGTTGAAGTACGTATCTCCTGCCCATTTTTATCGATCTACATTATACCTGTATTTTGCGAAATTGCGTTTTATTTTTGCGTTACATTATAGAACACATTTCCCTGAAAGTATAGTGAAATATTTCATTTGACTGTATTTTAAAAGGCTTTTCAAGCTTATCGTTTATCCGTATTCTGCGTTGTCGTGTTGGTACAAATGCTGCTTTATGTCTATCTGGACACCATTCTATAGCATTTATCATGACAAATTCAAAATAAATGTGATATCATGCCTAGGAAGTAAAACTAATTTACCTCTGATAGGTTTCAGTACGATGACTTCGAGACGTATAGTATTCTAATTAAAAGAGAAAGGCAGTAATATAAAAATTAAAATTTAGCACTAAAAAAGTCTTAGATGCGAGTAGATTTTGACTAAACCTCTATTGATTTCAAGAGCGATCTGACAGGTCTTTCCTGCAAAAGTTTGCTTTTTCCATTTTAGTAAACACTTTTTGCTCCTGAAAAAGAGGGACCTATGCCAGATCATCTTCGAAATTTAGCGTCTTATTTAAAAAATCTATCCCCGTCTGAGAGGTTTCTTTTCTTTTTTCTTCTTTATTTTAGTTTATAGTCTTCTTCATATAACGCACTCACCTGATGGTATAAGCATTGTAAGAGAACGAAACATATCGGTTTTGTGGTGTATTAAGCATAGTTGTGATAAGAAGGAGGATTCAGTTTAAATGAAATATAAATTTAAGCAAACTAGTTAATATGGACACTTATTTAAGCTAACGTTAGCTAGAAAGTTTATTTATACTGAGAAATATCTGTTAATTTAAAATTTAATCTTAATTCTGAAACTCATAATGAAATGTTATTGATTTTATTCCATTCTTCATCATAAGGCTTTTCAAACTTATCTGTCGTTTGGCATCTTGTGTTTCCCAAGTACCTTTGTGCAGACCGATTATCTTTCACTTATATCTCATGTTTCCTAGATAGATTTCTGTGGATCAATTACCCACGCGTTAGATAAGAGATAGAATTCCGGAATCTGACATGACGCTCGACTGCTTTAAGTCCTATTCTATGTGTGCTTATAGTCTTCAGTATTCCATTAATGGCACTGTGATTCAATCTTCTCGATGGGTAATGATTTTCTTACAGTCTGTTAAATTTCGATCACTAGAATGAATTCTTAGCACAGCAACACAGATATGATCTCACGTGGGAAAGAAGAAACCTGTTTGGATTAAGACGCAAAAAATGAGAATTTAAAATGCGTATGCGAGCATATGTAAAGCATGTATACGAGTACAATACTGCGCGAATGTTCGTGTCTCTCATTTGTTGCAACTATGTAAAGACTATTTGAGAATATAACCATTATATTTTTATTCATTTAATTTCAACAACAGAAGCATAATGTATTTTGAACTATCACTACTAAATTATAAGGTCAATATTTTGCATAAAATGTGGCCTTTTTTTTTTTTTTTTTTTTTTTTTTTTTTTTTTTTTTAAGATTTTATTTAAAATTTTCCTGGCATTAAGGGAACTACTTTCGGCACACATGCAAAACATTTTCTTAGGAACTGCTTCCCAGATTAGTTGTACTTTCATCCAAAATATATCTCTTCATGTAATTTTGAAATTTTAAAGCTCTTTATCTATAAAACCTCTCAGGAATCCTGTAATACTCAATTTAATAAGTCTAATAATGCAGGGTTTCTAGTTATCTTTCTCCTTTTTCTTCATTTAACTAAATACTTTTAATAGAACTATGAAATACACCTGAGTCATTTTCTTACTGAACATTTGCAATAAATAGGAGAGAATTTATTTGGTACATTTTAATGAATAAATATTTCATAATCACGTTTCTTTCTCTCCAAGTTTGACATGAAAATGCGTCCCAATCTCAGTTAAAAAAAACCTCCACTAAAGAATCGTTCCTTAGCTATCGCATGCTTTGTTTTAATCAAATCAAATCAACGAACTTAGCATTTACTTACTTATTAAGGAATTAACACATACTTCTAGACGTGATTTTGTGTTGTAAGTGGTTAATAAGTTCAACTATCAATCTCATGCTTTGTTTGTAAGTGGTTAGTACGTTTAACTAGCAAGTGGCATGTCTGTCGCTTAAATCCTGGCAAAACTATAGATAATTTTTATGTTACCTGCATCAAAAAAGTCTTGTTTCTGCAGTTTATATTGTTACCATAATCAAAATTATTCCTACATTTCATTCGAAACATTGTAAAAATTCATTTAGAATCTTTTAAAAATTTCCTGACTGGTTTTGATCGATTGTTTAAAATATTCCTTACAATTTTTGTGACTCAATCATCGATCACTTAAATTTCAATATCTTTATGTATTCTTTTCTAGATTTCTTTGAAACTTTGAAGACTAAATCAAAGAACAATTTTTAAAAATATATATTTCATATTTCGTTACTAAAATTATGCTGTTATTTAAATATTGTTTCTACTGCGTATATTTCACATTGGCTTCGTTCCACAATTAATATGAAAAATATGCAGTGTTATTTGTCATTGCTGAAATGCCATGGTAGGCTTCTAGTAGTTCTACTTATTCCGTTTTTCGGACTTCCTACTTATGCAGGCTTATGCCTTCGGCTTCCGGGCTGAAGGATGAAAATTCCCGATAGTATTTTGTTAAGAGTGATGAAGATTATTTATTCAAAACTTGGTTACTTTGAACAACATTGAAATTCACGAAGTGAATTCAAACATCGTGCTTGTGAACGAAAACTCGACAGTCCATTACTAAAGCTCAGATAGACACAAACGTTGTATATTTCCCCTTTTAAAAACCTCTATAGTTATTATATGTGAGAATTTTTGGTTAAATACAACTTGGTGCAAAAACCTCCTGAAATGTATTCGGAGAATATAATTGTATTCTTAAAGTTAACTTCAAGACCAAATCTAATAAATTACACACACTTTTAAAGATAATTTTAAATACTGTTCAAAACATATTATCGTTTTAAAGTAAAATCAATAACTGAAAAGTTACTAAAGAAAGATTGGCTCACGAAAAGGACAATTAATAAATAAAAATTCTAAATTGCTTTCTCAATCTACTGTAGATCTCTCTGGTTGTCTAATGCTACCTACAAAAGAACAACTATTGCTTGCTCTAAAGATTTTGGTATTGAGACCTCTGCGTTGCAATTTTGAATTCCTATATACTTTATGTTCATTTAAATGAATGTCGTTCGCAAATAAAAAAATTAGGCATGATAAAATCATTACACTTTCAAAAGACACTGGTCATGAAGGACGAACTGTAGATCAACGGCGTAAAGTTATTTGCAGTGATGAAACAACACTTTCTTCAACAGTCTATAAAGGAACCACTTTTGTACAACATCATAATGATATATTTAATCATATTTTACTGTAGCGACAGTAAATAAACTTACTTCATTTATGATATGGAGTTAATCTCAACATATGAAGCGGTTCGATTTCACATCGTAGAAGAAAAAATGAATGTGACCCAAAGTATTGATGTTTGAAAAAAAAATACTTCCTTCTGTTATTGTGTTTATGTCGTTCAGGATGATAATGCACCATGCCATTGAGAACGAACAATGGCTTAAAAATTACCGTGGCCTGCCAAATGCAAAATCTCAGTCCATTTGAGAAACTTTTGATTATATTGAAACAGATTGCTCTACAAAATCACAACAGTAAAGCAGACTTAACTGAAACCGTAATTCCATGTATAATCTAATTCCAATGAATGACTTTTGCAAACTTTAATTAGTATTTTCAAAAGATGTGCATTAGTATTTAAAAATAAAGGCTCATTAATTATCTATTAATAATCTATATAACTCGAAACATGTTTAAAATTCATTTTGTAACTTTACCTAATTATTATCTTTGGCATTAAAAATTATTTGTAGTTTAATAGACTTATATTTAAAAAACGTTTTTATTAGTCTCAACGTTTCTTTCCATTCTCTCATTCATACTGTTTACAATATCTTTAAGCCTATTTTTTTTTAAATTTTCTATAAAATTATTTCTAAGTTGATATGTTATTTATTAACATTAGCATTTAAATTAATTTTTAAAGTGCGACTAAATGCTCAAGCTAACGCTTTCATAAAAATTTGTAAAATTTTTGCACTAAACTGTATTTTAACTTAAAAAACTATTTTTGTTAAATAAATGAAAACTAATTTTTTAAATAAATGAAAAGAGATGATATAAAAGTTACACTCAGATTATAACTCAAATTAAGTTTCACGGATGATGTATTAAAATTTTAGTGGTAAGTTGCTTACCATTGAAGCGACAAGTATTAACTAGTATAAAATCTATTAAAAATACTTTTAAATAACAAAGGTAAACATATTTTTAATTTTACTTTTCAAATTGCTTTTTGGCATTCTTAAATTTTAAGTTTTCGCATCTGAAATGTTTTAGACTTATATCTTTCGCTTGGAATCGAAGTCTGACTGAAGCAATTATTTTACAATATGAGACTACCATGTTCATATCAGCAACAAATTGATTTATGGAATAATTCTATACATCTATTTTTACTCCATGAAGAACTAAAACATGCTTGACTCGAAACAGTACTGAAAATGGTGCGAAGAATTTTGTCTTTGTCTTAATGTATTTAAGAAATAAAAATCCTTTGCAGAAGAAAATTGTAATAAATTCTACAACCTCTGAATAATTGATCTTCATTCTTTTTATAATAACGTACTGGCTAGATTTAATCTATTCCAACAACTTTTCAACATAATTGAAAGTGAATAGCAATATAAGTAAAATGTAAAATTAATTTATAACTAATCTGAGGTTACGTGGGCTAAACTTTTTTGATGATCTTAGAGCATCGTGTAATATAAGCGCTAACTACTTAACAATGGCAACTAATTATACGTCTGCACTTTCTGTAAAAGACACCTATCTACTCTCAAGCGTCTTAGCTATCTAAGTTTACCCATTATTTGATAATTATATACTCATCAGCTTTCTCGCCAATTTGAAACAAAGTCAACAGAAAAAAAGTAAAATTGCGCTAGCAAAACTGTCAGGTTAGCAAACAGTAATAACATGATATCTGAAGCTTTAGGTTTTCCTTTCATGTTTAGATAGAATAGGTGTTTTATAGAAATATAATAAACTAATAAAAAGCGTAATTTTAAAAAAATTAAAATTTGTGAAAATAAATGAAATTTTATAGTACATTAACATTAATTAATGTCTGGTTATATTGATTTAAAGATATTTTTGTTTTGCAGATGTCGTCGCACAGCGAAGCGCGGCTAGATAGCGAAGACTATCTTTCGAGTCAACAGAAGATTTACCTGAATTAGTCGATTTTCGAAATAAAGATTTGGTTGTTAAAACGGAAATTTTACCGTTTTCAGATAACAAGGAATCTGCAGTAACATTTTATCCCTTCTCTGGGAAAGAAAATTCAGAAGAACAATTTGAAGTAAAACGCAATGTTGCAGCTTTAGCCCGTCTTGGAAGACTTAATCCTTTGCGATATGGAAACACTAATTTGAAACAACAAAATGAAGAGAAAAAAAATATTCAGTCATTGGCTCGTCTTGGAAAACTCAATGCATTTCGTACTGGAGACACCAATCTGAAAGAGCAAAATGAACAGAAAAAAAATATTCAGTCCTTGGCTCGCCTAGGAAGACTTAATGCTTTTCGTTCAGTAGATAGCAATCTGAAAGATCAAAACGAAGAGAAAAGAAACATTGCAGCTTTAGCTCGTCTTGGAAGACTTAATTCGTTTCGTTCTGGAGATGGCAGTTTTAAAGATCAAAATGATGAGAAAAGAAATATTCAGTCATTGGCTCGCCTTGGAAGACTTAATGCTTTTCGTTCTGGAGATGCCAGTCTGAAAGAGCAAAATGAAGAGAAAAAAAATATTCAGTCTTTAGCTCGTCTTGGAAAACTTAACGCTTTTCGTACTGGAGATGCCAGTGTGAAAGAGCAAAATGAAGAGAAACGAAATATTGCAGCTTTAGCTCGCCTCGGAAAACTTAATGCTCTGCGCTCTGGCAGTACTAGCTTGAAGGAAGAAAATGACGCGAAAAGAAATATTGCAGCTTTAGCTCGTCTCGGGAGGCTTAATAGTTTGCGATCTGGAAACACAGGTTTCAAAGAACAAAATGATGAGAAAAGAAACATTGCAGCTTTAGCTCGCCTCGGTAGACTTAATGCTGTACACTTAAGAAGTTCTGATTTGAAATCGGAAAATGAAGAGAAAAAAAATATTCAATCTCTAGCTCGTCTCGGTAGACTTAATGCTCTGCGTTCTGGAAATACCAATTTGAAGGAACAAAGTGAAGAAAAGAGAAATGTCGCCGCTTTAGCTCGACTTGGTAGACTTAATGCTTTGCGTTATGGGAGTCATCAGTCACATGAGGTTGGCAGGAGAAGAATGAATAGTGACGAAACTAGCAGCATGCAAGTCATAGATTGCAAAAGTACTCCAAACCTGGTGCAGCAAAAGCGTTACGTAGCAGCACTAGCAAGGTCTGGCCGCCTTCCAGCATGGCATTCCCAGAGAATGTGGTGGGGAGACAAACGAGATGATTCCCACCAGATGTCACAGAACTTTACAAATGGAGATAACTCAGAAAATGACGTAGAAGAGTTTGCACTGAAAACGAAAAAATGTTAAAGAAGCGAAGAATAAAATATTATCTGTAGAAATTGAAAACTTTGAGCTAAGGCAAAAAATATATAACTCAAGTGTAAAGAAATCTCCTACCTTTTCAATAAATGTTAAATAATCGTTAAACATTCATGTATTCATTGCAAGAAAACGAATTACCTAATGTGTTTAATATGATTTCAATCAAGTAAGTGACATAAGTTACAAAACTGATAAATAGTCAGAAGCAGAATCGTACTAATGTAATAATGAATTATGCTGCATATCCTCTAAGTAGTGCAAAGTTCCTTGAGTTTGATCTTAAGTTCTGTAAATCAGAGAGATAGTATATCAATCGATATGTGTTAATATTGGTGAAAAAGAGGAGTTTTATTGCTTTTACAATAATTAGCTATTGAATATGACTGTTATTTTACCCATTACGTGGATGATGCAAGTTGATCGTTGTATTTTAGTGATAAATGATAAAATGGCTTACTTCTTTTAGATTTATTTGTTTCAACTCTTCAAAAGTATTGTTTCTGCTTATTAAATAGACTGTTCTTGATTTATGAATTTTTTTGATGTCCTTTATTGGTCACATGTTTTTTACCTATGTATTTATTTCTTTACATCAGCACAGATTTTTATGACACGTTAAATACTAATTATAGTACTTCGTATAAAGTTAAAAGGAAAAAAACTGAGTTTACATTAGTTTCGAGAAGAAGGTTTAAAACTGTATTCATAAATAATGGTTTTCTTACACTAATTTCTTTAACTTCGTAATTTAATTTTAAATAATCATATTGTTGTTAAAACTTCTGAAAGATTTTCAGTATTTTAAAAGTACTTCAGTGTTGAATATTTTGCACTGTATTGCAACTAAAGTCATCTGAAGTGGCAATATGATAAGAATGGGTTTTGAGGAATTTTCGGTAGAGATGAGTAATTTGGACTAGAAGAGAAACACGCTCATGTGACAATCAAAATCGTAAAAACAACCTTGTATTTAGCGTAGGTATAATGAAACACTCAATCGATTTCGAGGGCAGCTAAAGGTCCTTCCTCATCAGGAGAAAGAAATACCTAGAAAGAAGAAAATAAAGGAGTCACAGAAAACACGTGGTCCTTATCAGCACTGCACGTGGTTATAACTAGAATTTTAATCAGAGTTGCACTGGCCGCCTACTTTTACTGAGCCAGGCTATCTGATCGAGCAGGAAAAATTAGCGAAGTTAAAATAGGGAGCGAGGGGGGAAATGCACCTTACGCTCAAAATCTGAACTTCAAATAATGGAAAGCAACCACTGAACGGGTTTCTATACCCTCTGGTAGTACCAAACGCGAGGAGGTAACGCCATCTATCGGCAAAAATAACTGAATTAAGATAGTAGAATTTTAAAGGCATTAGGAAGGACTGGATTGGACTTCAAATCATTAACTAAACCTGCTAAATCTTTGTGAATGTGAAAAGCCTCAAGAAAATCCAATTCACCTATGGAAGAAGCCTTTTGGATAATTTTTGCAGATCGAAAATCAAAATTATGCTTAAAAGTCCAATTATGATACGCTATTGATGACTTGTTAATTTCGCCTTTTTTGACATAAGATTCATGTTCCTTGATACGAAACTTCAACGCTCTTTTCGTTTGGCCGATATATCTTAAACCACATTGACACGATATACTATAAATTCCCCAAGAATTCAAGACAGAAACGCAATCTTTTAGAATCGAAGGGTGAATTTTATTAATAGGGGAGAAACCGACTTGGAAATTGAATTTCTGGAGAATCCGTGCAATTTTATAGCTAACAGAAGGATAAAATGGAAGCACGACAAGGTCATTAATATTATTTCTAACAATGGAATGTCTTCTTTGATGGGAATCTGAAAATTTTTTAACGGCTTTATCAATAATCACGGGAGAAAGTCCACGGTCAATCGCAACTGCTCTCAAATAATTAAGTTCATTGGTAAGCAAAGATTGAAAGGAACAAACTTTAAGCGCGCGGAATACATAATAGTAAAAAGAAGCCATTTTTTGCTTAACAGTGTGGCATGACTTGGCATGGGGTGGTAAACAAACTGCAAAGGGTTTACGGTACACAGTGGTGCTAAAATCAGTTTCATTGCGGATTATAAGAATATCAAGGAAGGGGCGGGAATTGTTGGATTCAATTTCAAGAGTGAATTGGATGGCTGGATCAATTGAATTCATAATAGATAGAATCTCTGATAAATCCTCTTTATAACCGTCAAAAAATGCGAAAGTGTCGTCAACATACCGAATCCAAAGACGAAAAGATAGTTTATCAAATAATTTCATCTCAAAATAGTGCGTATAAATGTCAGCAAGTACCGGACTGAGAGGATTACCCATAGCCAATCCTTCAACTTGACGAAAATATGCATTTTGGAAAACAAAGTGGGTTTGACTTAGAGAAACTTTAGTAAGCGATACCAACTCATTAATTTCAGTATGTATGAAGTGAAATTCCCGAAGCCTAGTTTCAAGACAATTTAGTGCTCCTTCGACCGGAACATTAGTAAAGAGTGATTTGACATCAAATGAAACCATAATGGAACGAAGTGGAGAAATATTTTTAAGTTTATCAATGACTTCAACAGAATTTTTTACAGTGTGAATATTGTTAGCAAGTAGAGGAGAAAATCTGGAAACTAAATATTTGGCCAAAGGATATGCAGCAGTACCTATGTTGGAAGTCGGAATTTTCAAGTCGGTTTCTCCCCTATTAATAAAATTCACCCTTCGATTCTAAAAGATTGCGTTTCTGTCTTGAATTCTTGGGGAATTTATAGTATATCGTGTCAGTGTGGTTTAAGATATATCGGCTAAACGAAAAGAGCGTTCAAGTTTCGTATCAAGAAACATGAATCTTATGTCAAAAAAGGCGAAATTAACAAGTCTTCAATAGCGTATCATAGTTGGACTTTTAACCATAATTTTGATTTTGGATCTGCAAAAATTATCCAAAAGGCTTCTTCCATAGGTGAATTGGATTTTCTTGAGGCTTTTCACATTCACAAAGATTTAGCAGGTTTAGTTAATGATTTGAAGTCCAATCCAGTCCTTCCTAATGCCTTTAAAATTCTACTATCTTAATTCAGTTATTTTTGCCGATAGATGGCGTTACCTCCTCGCGTTTGGTACTACCAGAGGGTATAAAAACCCGTTCAGTGGTTGCTTTCCATTATTTGAAGTTCAGATTTTGAGCGTAAGGTGCATTTCCCCCTCGCTCCCTATTTTAACTTCGCTAATTTTTCCTGCTCGATCAGATAGCCTGGCTCAGTAAAAGTAGGCGGCCAGTGCAACTCTGATTAAAAATCTAGTTATAACCACGTGCAGTGCTGATAAGGACCACGTGTTTCTGTGACTCCTTATTTTCTTCTTTCTAGGTATTTCTTTCTCCTGATGAGGAGGGACCTTTAGCTGCCCTCGAAATCGATTGAGTGTTTCATTATACCTACTCTAAATACAAGGTTTTTTTTACGATTTTGATTAAGTAATTTGGTTAAAACTTTTCAGAATTATTTAGAAGTAATAGGACATATTATCAAAATATTTTCTATAAATATAGAAGAATATATTTGGAAAATTTTATTATTTTAAAGCCATATCTGAAAATAATTAGTTCTCGCTACTGATTAAGTACCGATGGTGATTTTATATTAATAAACGTTCAGACTGGATTGCAATGTATTATTTAGATAATGGCAAAGCATACAAGGGCTATTTGCCAAAGTAGGAGGCTGTATTCATAAAAGACATTTAAATTGAAACTGACTTGAATTCGCGTTGTACAAGAGAAAAACCACGTAATACTTGTGCAATCAGCTTGTTCGTCGCAATCTGAAATTAGAAAACTAACATTCCTCGGTTTTAGCTAGTAGACGCTGGTGGACTATAACAGTTCAGGGTAAGGTCATTTGTTTCATATTAATACATTTCTCACCCCTTATGAGAGGATTAATAATTCCTTCAAAAACTAAATTATTATTGTAAAATATATTTATATATATCTCAGTTAAAAAACATAGTTCTCCTTTAGTTACCTGTTAATTGAGCAATGCTCTCAGTATTTTATAGTTTCGTTATAAAAATCAGGAGTAAAATTCAGAAAGGATTATGTTCTTCCATATATCCATTGTTATTTTAATACAGTTAGTTCTTAAAAACACTTTCTCAAACACTAAACAGCATAGTTTAAGAATGCATTATTTTTTAAATTTGATGTAATATCATAGCTTGAGCAACTTTTGAAAAAAGGTCAATAGATATGAGAAACTCTCACATAAAATTTTCCAATCAGGTAATTAGAACTGGGGATATTTCAGTGACGTATTTTCAATAAAAGGCGAATTTACAAAACGAATCATTTTAAACCCTCCGAACTTAGAGCGTTAGTGTTATACATACATGTATACAGGGCGAATCTGAACAAGAGGGCAAAGCTTTAGAAGGTGGTAGAAAACGGCTATACAATCAATATTTGTAATAGAATGTATGGTTGGAACGCAAAGGGCGAGCCGTTAGGTGGTATTGTAAATAAATGGTATAAAAAGGGTCGATTCTCGTACCCAACGGTGATTCTCCATGAAAACAAATACATCAGACCTCATACTGCACATACTATCATCGATGGCGATCAAAATTTTGTTTCTTGAGCTCCTCGGTAGTGGTTGTCTCTACTTATCAGATTTCACTTCTTGTTGATATTTGTACTTGTATTAATATCTTCTCTGCACATGTAAGTTTGTTACTTGTTTTATTGAATTTTGTGTATAGCATATTGTATATGTATATGTTTTTATTGTAGGTTGTTTCTTGCCCATTGTATCTTGAAATTTGATTTCTACAACTTGTATTTCGTATTTGGATAACTTTATCTGAGGTTCTATTCGACATTTGTCCTGCTCTGAGGATATTTGCCTGATTCTTTCTTTTGGCATTTTGACCTTTTGGTCACCCTCCTTTTTCTTCCTTCTCCCTTGCCTCCGATTTCTCTTCAGAGATTCCCAGGTCTAGAACTAATACATCATGTGCCTTCGGGCTTTGTCTCAGGAACCGGCAGCGTTGCTGTCAGCAATAGTTCGGTATATTATTGAGTCGCAGTTGTACCCAACAGCATTTTCTACCGTGGATAGCCGAGAGGATTGATGGTTATGCGAACCATGAAAGTTCCAGGGCGATGAACTGGTCGAGGTGGTCTCATAGCTTGGCCAGATCTCTCGTGTTTGGACATTTTCCTGTGTGGCCATATCAAAAAGGCCTAATCTTTGAGTGCCCCATTGAAACCAATTTGGATCTAGTCGCAAGGACCGTCGTTGTTGTCGGCGATATTCGGGAAATGCCTAATGTCTTCGCAAATGTGCGTCAATCCCCCTATTCCGCAATTGTGGAGCTTACATTACAGATGACGGAAGGTCTTTTGAGCAATTTCTATGAGCATTTTCTGTTAACAAAATGTTTTCTGAAGTATCTCCTCTCATTCTTGTGTTAATTCTTTAAATGTGACAATGGAAAACTACTCTTTAACTTCTCACC